TCATGAAGAAATGAGCAAAACATGCTTCCTATAAGTACAGTGAATTTGTGCAGTTGGGATCTTGAGAGTGCACATATTAAAACAAATAGAAACRGGAAACAGAATTCTGCGAATAGGAAATAATTACTCCTTAGTAGTCTTTTATCAATACTTCGTTCCAAATATTCCAAATCTTTCTAAGGCTGAGATGGAGCTTGGGGACCATCGTCTGGCAACTCTAGAGACAGTCTTTTACAACATGAGGGCCATCTGTAGAATCTGCACTCAAAAAAATCAACTCTGTGAAACGCTTCTTTTAAATAGAATTATTTAACGTTATGATCGTAGTACATTTGTTTTTTGAGCTGAAAACACTGAAATTCTATTTTTTCTCTAACTGGAGGCTGTGTGATATTTGACAATAAAGTTTATTTCTGAAAGTTTTTATCTGAAATGATTGCCATTACCCTATTTTGACCCAAGCTGTAAGCAGAAGTTGTATTTTGAACTCTTTTTGAAGAGAGTGACAGGAGAGTTCACTACCATGTGTAAGCACTTTGAATCCTAGAACCATAGAATGGTTTGCATTGGMAAGGATCTTAAAGATCATCTTTTTCCAGCCCTTCAGCCATGGGCAGGGACAAGTTCTTCTAAAGGAGATTTTTCTGAGCACCATCCAACCTAGCCTTGAACAGTGCCACAGCTTCTCTGGGCAACCCGTTCCACTCCTTCCACTAAAGGATTTCTCCTGAATATCTAACCCAAACCTTCCCTGTCTCAGTTTAAGCCTGTATCCCTTGTCCTATCACTACATGCCCCTGTGAAAATCACTCTCCGGCTTGCTTCTGGCCCCATTTAGGTACTGGAAAGCTGCTTTTGTGGGAGGCTTCTTTCCTGCAGCCTGAACAGCCTGTTTGAAAGGAAAGGAATTATACCTTTAAATGCGTTCAGCTTCCAATTGTCAGGTATTTTTCCTCTCAAATTCAATGTTGAAAAAAATTACATTTTTTTTCCCAGTAAACTTTGCCCAGTATCAGAAGAATTGAATGAATAGTTTTTAGMGTCATTCAGCCGAGGTTTCCTCACTAGACCTTATCTTATGCCTTTTTCCATTATTTTTATTCCCTATGGYTGCAGTAATTTGTTGCTGCTAAGCCTAAACCTTGACATGTAGTGGATGTGTCTGGACCCAGATGGGCTCTGTGCTTTCAGAAACTCATGGAATACAAATGGGCTTTGGTTTGGTGAGCCTATGGCTGTATTTCTGTTGTGTCTCAGAAGACACACAAGTGTGCTGTTCCTTGTTAGCATAGAACYACCTAAAAAAGGATTAATCCTTAAAAAAAAAATGAATGCAGTGGCTTTGGGTGACCATTGTGCTTCTTTCTGACCTTGGAGCTGGGCAGGTTTTATTTTAATGCAAGTAGAAGCACAGGCTCATTACATTCTGGATGACCACAATGGACAAGGCTTGTGTAGTGGTCTCCCACAGCCCTCCTGCACCTGCTCTTGATTCCAGAAAATAGGAGAAGGATAACTCATGGAACCTATTTTTCTGTTCAAGGCCTAAAAATATTTTCTACAGTGATACTAAAATAGGGGAGAACTTTTAAAAATATTCTGACATTTTCTTCAGTATATTTACTACTTCCACAAAAATATTGAAATAAGCTACACAAGAGAATCCCTACAATCAGGTGATTCTGACAACAGAAAGCTCCACAGATCATTGAAATGCAGCTTAAGGAATAGTTTCACTGTRCTGGAAAAGCTTACTTCTAATTCTTTAGTGTAAATATAAACTTGTGCATATGTCTGTTACAAAAATCTGGTCAAAACTAGTAACTTGATAGAAGAAAATAGAAATCAATGGAAGGACAAAAAACTATTGTATATTTATCATTTTTATGTATGTGTAGATAGCGAAACTAGTATTGGGCTAAAATGAACACAGGGTAAGTGAAAGGAGGCAGAGCATTTTATATGTAAGGAAGGCGATGGTGCTCTGCAGGGCCAGGAGTTGAGCTGGATGATCTTTGTGGATYCCTTCCAACTCAGCATATTCTGTGAATCCTCGATGGTGAAGAGGTTTCAGGTTAGCTGGAAGAAAAACATTTTGCATCATTGCTCTTTCCAAGCTCTGCCAAAAGAATCTGAGTAAGTTTAACTCTCTCTTTATAAGCTGTAAAGGAAAAAGCTGAGTGTATTTATAAAATAGGATGTCAAGAACAGCTTGTGGGTGTTGTCACCGGTCAGCAAGGTATGTGTGGGACAGTCTTACMGACTGCTTCTGGCAGCAGCCCGGTGTGCAGGCTACCAGTCCTCCTGGGAATCCCTGATTACAGCGACCTTGGCACAGGTTTTGGGATGTGTCCCCTTTCAGGTATGTTTGCCTGCAGGTTGCTTTGATGTTTCCCTCATGTCCACATGAATGCTGACAAGGCCCTTTTGGATTCTTTGAGCCTGTTGCCCTTCACCAGCACTCTGCAAGGGGAGCTGCCTTTTCCCACCTGGCTACGGGTCCCAAGCACAGTGCAGGGTGCATTTGGGGTGAAATATGCGTGCAGGTTGTGGTGTCCAGGTAGGATATGCAGAGTGCTACCGCAGCAGCCACCTTCAGCAAAGCTCAGCATTGGATCCTGGGGAAGGGCCTGGAACATGTCTTTCGTAATTGACTTATTGTGAAGAAACATTTGGCATCACGGCTAGACATCTGCAGAATTAAATCTCCACYAGTTCTTATGCTACTGAATGTCTAGTATTTCAGCCTTTGAAACTGTTACATCATTCTGAGGAACTAACTCTGATCGTCACCGCTTTAATTCTTCTGGCATTTCTGTAGCTTTTACATTTTTATCTGTACTCTTCTGGTTTTGGCACTTTTTTTTTCTTTTCTTTTTTTTTTTTTTTTTTTTCTTTTTTTTTTTTTTTTTTTTTTTTTTTTTTTTTTTTTTTTTTTTTTTTTTTTTTTTTTTTGGCTCCAAAGACCCTTCTGAATCTAAGTGCCTTGTTAGGAGCCAAGCTGGAAAAACAGAAATTTTAAGAGAGGCTTCACCGCTGTGTCTCATTAGTGGAGATTAGGGTGCGGGCTGAGCGGGGGTGGCAGGGTGGGGATGCAGCCAYGGGAATTTGTTTCGCAGGTGCAATGGGAACAAGAGACGCGTATGGACGGGGGCTGACGAGAGCGATATAAAAGGGAGAGGAAGGTTGGGCAGCGGGCTGGCCGACAGCTCCCGAAGCACCAGAGCCAGCCCGGCTCCCGGCCCCGGTTACCGCCCCTCCCCGGGCCCCGCCCCAGCGCGCTCCCGCGCTCCGGGGACGCGCCTCGTCCCGTCCTTCCTGCTGGGAAGTGACGGAGCCTCTCCTGGAGGAAGTGACGCGCGTGGCGTGCTGGCCCGGAGCGGTGTGGGGGGGGCTCGGACAAGATGGCCGGATCCACAGGTCTGTGAGGGGGGGCKCGGTGGGCCCGGGAGAGCGGCGCGCTGGGCTGGGCTTGGGAGGCGCCCCCGCAAGGGCCCGGGGCGGGTCTCCTTCCTCCGGGATGGGGGATGGGGGGCAGCTGCCTCCGATGGGAGAGACCCGAGTGGGGAGGACTTGTCTTCTGACGGGGGAAAAGGGAAGCTGCAGGGGCGCTGGGACAGGTTATCACAGAATGCCAGATTCACTCAGCTKGGAARAGATCTTTGAGATCAGCGAGTCCARCCTGTGACCGAACACCGCCTTGTCAGCCAGWTCACAGCACAGAGTGCCACGTCCAGCCTTTCCTGAAGCACCTCCGGGGACGGTGACTCCACTTTTTCCCTGGGCCGCCCTTCCAATGTCKAATGTGAAGAAATTCCTCCTAATTYAGTTATGCCCCCGTGCCCTGTCTCTTCCGTCCGTGGGGCAGCGACATCCTTGTGAGAGCCCGGCCTGGGGATGCGTGATGGGAGACACTGCTCCGAGTGCCGGGGGAGGGAAGACTTGACCTGCCAAGAGGCGGGAATGGATGGGTAGATGTTGGTGTGTGTGGGGAAGGGAGGAAATGTCGCTAGCCTAGTAAAAATGCKGGAGAAAAGAAAGCTTAGTGCTGAAAACTTGTCCCGGTGTACCACTAGGTGAATATAGAAGCTGTGCTAGAGTGGTATCTAAAATAAAGGATTGTCTCTRTCCTCTCTTTGTTCGGGAGGGAAGGGCTTAGGCCTGAGTTGTGTGTACTTCACTTTGGTGKTGACTGTAGCATAGTGGGAAAGAGGAGTGGAGCTGTCTTCCCCTAGGCGTCCAWTGAAGCTGAAGGGTCTCTCTCATAGGCAAATGTGAGGGCAGAGAGCTCATCCCAGGAAGCCCATCTCATTAACCAGCAGACATCATGCAGTGTTGGTGTGGCAGAACATTGTGGAAAGTGGCAGCAAAGAAAGGGACAAAAATATTTCTTCAAGTGCTGAATGTAGCAGCACAATTATACTGTCTTAGTTCCATTTTATGAGAGGCTTGAAATACAAAAAAAATCTTGCCCTCAGTGCTAGAACCTGAAGTCTCCAGGGTCTTGTTTCCTCTTCTTTCACCCCTGGGACTTTGTAAGTGGGATTGATGGACTTCAGGACAGGGGAATKAATTGACCTCAGCAGCCAGGGTGAGTGTTGGCCACTAATGTATTTCTGCTGCCAATCCACTGGATCATTGAGGGACTGGGACTATAACAAAACAGAAGAAACATCTGTATATTTACACTGGTCTTGATACCTTGCTATTGATTCTGTAAGGAGAGTTTGGGCAGGTTTTGGGTTTGTGGCTTTTTAGAGGAAGGAGAATTATCTCCAGTTGGTAATGAGTTTGAGGATTGTGATTTCCAGAGTGGAATTTGATTAAGTTGTGATGAAATAGGCTGTGGAGTAGCTTTTTCAACTATGTGGAAGAGCAGTCCAAAAAGATAGCTATTGCCTATGACAAACTGAATTACAATGGATGTRTTAGAGAATCTCAAGTATTTGCCTATCTGGAAATTACTGCATTTTATTTTGTTAGGTTGTTTTTACATTTTTTTTCCTCGTGCCTAAGTTTAAAGATTTTATTATGGAGCAGCACTGAAATTCTTCAGCTAATGTCTAGGCTCTGGTTGGAAATTTCCTGTAACACACCAGAAAGCAAAGTTGATTTAGGTCATGTGTGTTGACTGTTGGCATTTGGCATCAGAGTCCATTCAGTCTGGCTAGTATATCAGTTACTAAAATTTTGTGTAGTGAAAAAAGCTATGTTCTTTCTACTTCAGCTCTATAAGAGTAAATATTTTTTGACTGGATAGTTTAACTGCTGTAACTGTTCTTCAGTCTTACAAGAGTTATTTTAAAATCTACTATATACAGTTACTCAAGGGGGTTGTTTTTTGACTCAGAAATACAGCCACACTTGAAGTTCATAAAAAACAGGAGATGTAGGAAACTCTTAAAATGTATGACTGCTTCAAACAATGTAAAGTGGCAGTACTGCATGTACGCATTGTTCAAGAAATTAAATTAAATTAATTGTTGTAGTAAAATGCACCAAGCAGACTGAATCATCAGCAAAACTGCTGGGAAAATTAGTCAGGGCTTCTAAAACAACGTATTCTTTTGGAGAAAATACTGTGACTTTTTATTGGTATACACATGGTGTGGGGGGGTGAGGGGTGTTTGTTTTGTTCTTTCCACATCGTATATAAGAATTCAGACGTCAACCAAAACTGCTCTTGCCAGCAAGCTGTGTTACTGTCATTTGTGGAGGAGGGAGAGGAATGTTTTGCTAGAGACTTAACTTCATTAGAGACATAAGATTTAAACCTACCTACCTCTGTGACTTTGATCTGCTCTTGCTACAAAGTTGGACTTCATCATTATTTCAGGAAAAAAAGAGAATGTTTTGAATGCATGAAGTCCAGGAATGAAATTCTAGCCCCAAGGACGTCAGCAGCAAGATTTTTACTAAGGTCAACTATCTTACTTTTATCCCAGAAATTCCTTTTCTGGGCTTGCTAATTCTTTGGGCAGTCATGTAACGATTTATGTGCCTTTAACAGCAGAGAATTTAGTCTGAAAATAGCTGTTCTTTAATGTGTGCTAAAGAAACTGTATATATCACTGTTACATGAGTTTAATAAGTATCTCACCTGCTTTCTAAAGTTGCCTGTAATGAGTAGTTTTACATGTGCTAGTAATGGACATTTGTAAGCTGCAGTTTGATTGATCTGATACTGCAACTCCTGCTTGAAGCTGGATTTAGGTTGCTTGTGTAGGTAATGCTGGAGCTCTGGAGTAAAGCAAGTCAATTTTTTAGAGAAGAGCAGCTATCGTTAATACAATCATACAGTTTCATATTGCTTAGCTGGAGATGAATTCTGTTAACCTGTTTGAAGATACAAAGTAGAAGATGTAAATAAACACAGTTTCAAGTTAAATAATTCACTCAGGCATACCATTTAAACATCTCTTGTGTATTTTGAGAAAAAGCAGACAAAAAACGTCATTATAAGGAGTTAATTCAGGACTTAATTTCTGCATTTTGATAATTTGGGTTTCACTTAATTTTGTCTTATATGTAAGATTATACTTACATATGTATATATCTCTAAAATGTGAACATTTCCTAACAGCACTGATGGTGTCAATAAGACGTTAGAGCTTATGTGGGAAAAGATGAGAATTGAAGCAGCAGTGTCAAATACGGTGCTCTGACTATGGGCTGCTAATGCTTTTGTCTCCTTCCTCTTCAATCGAGATTTTCAGTAGCTTGGGGAAGGGTGAATAGGGCTGAGTTAATGGAAGTTCCCCTTGGTTTGCTGAACCATGTGCTTGGGGAAGAAAAATTGACTGATCTACAGTCAGAATTGCATGTAAGATTCCTGACTTACTTCTAGTATGTAGTCATGAGCAAACTCTTTTGAGAGTGTGCCTAATGTCTTTGAATGTACATGGCTAGATTTATTTTTTCTGTAAAATCCGTACTTTTCATTTTCACTTATGCTACTCTGTAAGGATGAAATGGTTTCTTTGTGTAACCTAAGKTGCCCATTCAAAAATGTCTTTGCCTTTGAATTTATAGATGATTGATTCTGTGAGTAGAAATGGCACAATGCATGGTCAGTGCCTTATTTTCTTAACTTTGTTTTTTACCTCTATTTGCAAACCTTTTGTAGTTGTGGAAGCAGTTCTAAGTGTRCATGATTACAGCAGTAAGGAAGCTGGTATTAAAAATGAAGGGCTCAAAGCGGTCTTGAGTGCATTCTAGACTCCCTGAGCTGTGAAACAAAGTGAGTGTGTCATTCCTAATGGTTGRGGGTTTTGTTGTTGCTGGTTTTTATTTTGCTTTGAAAGTTGGGAGTTTTTCCCCATCTTAAAATCCTCAGTTGAAAAATATTTTGCAATGTGGGATATTTTGCAATACTTTATCTCAAATGCTTTGAAACTCTTCTTCATTCCAAATCAACCTAATGTATGTCTGGTCTGTGCTTGGTAGGATAAAGATTGATACCCTGTGTGGAGACACCTGGATATACAGAGCCATTCAGAGGAGTAATAAAGGGATATATTCATAAGTGGGATGTAGACTCTTTAAAGACTCTTTTTTCCATGTAGGAGATGCTATTTAAACTTTGTGTCTAGAAAACTCTTGTGAAAACTCTAGAAAACCCACCTCTGCAGAGGTGGGTTCTCTTTAACCCGTTGAATGTTTGTTTCCCTCCTGTTTTTTTTCTCTTGTAGAGGAAATGGTTGTCTATTTTCTGTCTACTATATGTTACCTTGAAGGATGTATTTGTTACTTCCTCCCATTTTCTCTTTTATGCCTCCATCACGTTGTTCATTTATCCAGAACTGTTCCAAGAAGGCAGTTTAAGAGCTTTCTAGAATTTTACAGTCCTCGAAGTTTGTTCTGTGGGTTTAYAGTGTTAGCTCAGTGTAAGAATAGACTCCTTGAAGCTGCAAGTAATCAAACAAAACAAAAGAAGTAAAATACTGTGTTCTGTGAGGCAGCAAGCACTCTGTGTGGAGCATTTTTCCATCCTGTCCTATGCACAAGGAATTGCAACTGTGATTGTTCTGCCTGCTTAAAAACATCTTGACAAACCACAAGTAATTTCAGCTGAGTTGAGAAAAGTCTACATTACAAATGACTTCTAAGCTATATATAGACCATCAGTTCTTTCCARCTTTGGGGCATATATAGGCAAGGTACTCTGTTTCTCTTCAGAGCTTTGTCTGTRTCATTTTCCTGTCTTTGTTCTTGGTGTTTTGTGACTCTGTCTTTAAATACAAACCCACTTATGTCTTTCTGCCACAATAGCTGTTGTAAGTGTGCTTGCAGCAAAGCAACTTACCTCTGAAATAAAAAGTGGCCTACTTTATAATCTTCTATTTGTTTAAGAGCTTTGAAATTCAAGGATGTTATCAGACATAGTATTCAAGCCCATTATCTAAACAATCCTGGAAAAA